AAGTTCAACAGTTTAATGTTAACATGGCAGCTGCTACCTGCTTCCCAGGCTCTTGGCTTCGTGTCATCACTGACTCATTCATTGCTCAGAGATGTGAGGCAGTTTGGGGTGCAGTGGTAACAGGGAGAACTTGTTGCAGTTCCCAAAAAATACCTAGTGAGAACATCCCCACGTTTTCTCCAATATCAGTGGCCAAACTGGCAGCCTTTAGTGGCATAAGGCAGTCTGTGTGGTTTCAGTGAGTAGGAGGAAGACTGGCTGACACAGTTATTGATGGTTAAGTTTCTATAGTGTTATTTTCCATTTATCATCCTGCTTATCTATCTCTGCTTTCTATACACAGAAGAGAGAAAAAGTTAAAACAGTGACGCTTATGTTACACAAGTCAAATCTGAAGCTGGTTTAATCCAAAAAGAGAGAAGCATTATCCTGGTCATCTATAGCCCTAATAAAGTAGTACTTGAGAGCTTATACACCTTATACCAAGCTCCCATGCAGTTTGTGTAGAAGCATGATTAAAAGAGTGAACTCCAAGTTAAACAGCACACAGGTTAAACCTCAAATCATTTGTCACTGACCTGAAAGGTTTGGCCTAGAGTGTGCCTTAACAGTTTGGAAAGGAGCCAGAAGGGAGTGCAAAGGCTCAGCCTTGAGCTTCCCTTTGGGTCACACATTCAGACAGGCCTGACAGCAGCACCTAACGAGGTCGTCCCTCTGGCACCTCTCTCTTCAGAGCACGCCACACCTTGCCATGATGAGAATCAGTTTGTCTCAAACATAAGAAAATAAACAGTTGCCCTATCAGCTTTTATAACTTAGAGAGGAATTATGTTTACAGATATTACCACCACCTTCAGGGAATCTGAAGATTTCTGGATAGAATTCAGACTTTCGGTGAAGTCAAAGAAAGATAAGAGTGCAAATAGCCTTCAAGTCTTCTCTGGACTCTACAGGAGCAGTAAGTAAAAATTACCTCATATAATGGCATGCAGATGCTATCAATCCACTCGAGCTGCAACCTGGGTAGTTCATCTTTCCTGTTCCGATCAAAAATGGCCTGAATTGAGAAGGGAACAAAACTGTCATGCTTTATTACACTGGAGTATTTTACAGACACATCATCCAGCACTTCGGAGCTATGATCAAATTCTCACAACCAGAACACCTTGTAAACTGTAATCAATCTTTGCAGCAGTCTCCCTACTGCTTTGTCTGGCATGAAAAATAAACTGTTTATTTTCAATTCTGTTTTGAAATTTGTAGGCTGAACGTATTTGAATTTTATAATTCTGTGATGTAAAATAAATGATCCACAGTTGGAGTTGAGCTGGTAAGAAACCTCCTGTAGAAATGTAAAGTGGATACCTTTGAGTAGAAATTTCCCTTTTCTCACATAGGGTTTTTCACCTCAGCAAAATGAACAGTGATGGATCTGGGCTGGCTCCCTCCCTCCTAGTTATAGACCCTTTCTGCAGAACCAGCCATGTCTGTGAATCCAAAGGGTGGAGAATCAACATATCCGTTTTGGGAGCAGTTATCAATTTGTTCCACTGGAAGCAGCCTAATTCACTGCTCATGGCACTCCCCCAGAGAGGAAATTATAGAGGTCGAAGCTGGTGTTTAAGAGGCTCAATTATTGGCTGAAAGGAGATGGAAGAAACAGAGTTCTGAAGAGTTTGAACGTGAGCTGAGTTTCCTTCATACCCTGCCTGACATTACTTGGGTCCATCAGCTTTCCGTCTACAGGATTTTAATCCTCTTTCTAATGGTCATCCATACCATTTACCGAATGCCTTTTTTAACTCTCTGAATATGCCAAGTTTTAAATCTTTCTGTCTTTTTCTGTGGAAAGTCTGTTCTTATTCTGGGCCCATGTCCTCAAGGCCGATGTCTCCTGAGAAAACTTACTTTCCTTCTGTACCTTCTAGAAACTCCAGACTATACATATTACATTACATTAAATGTCTGGTTGAATTCTTCTAGTTGTAGCCTGCTCTTTCTGACATAAACAGGTATCACACAATGTATCTAAATAAGACCAGGAGGTAAGATTCAAGGACTCTCTGATCTTAAATCAGAATCTTGGGTTTGATTTTGGAGAATTCTGTATTTTCTATTTAAATAATTTTGAAAAATCCTGTCATTTTCAGATTGTTATAAGCACAACACAAGAAAAAATCCTTGAGTTGTAAGATAAGAGAATATCACATTATCTTGCTGACTAACAATTCTCTTCTCTAACTAGCAGCAATACCTATCTGGGTGGCTTGTCATAGCGATATGTAATGAAATACATCAGCATTTGATCTTGTTTAAAAATTCCTCATTAATGTGGTAAAACTCTACATGATTTTGACCCTTAGCCATCAACTGTTAGAACGGATGAACTTTGTGGTTATTTCCTGGTCTTATCCCCTAACATAAACCACTTAATACATCAGTTTACTGGATTCTTTGAAATTGTGAAGAGCCAGAGAGGAAAATCTTCCTTCAAGCTGTATGGCTTCAAAGCATCCTACATGTGGCCCACAAATTACTGTATTCCTTGGTGCAGACTGTACAGCCCAAAGGAAGAGTGAGAGTGCTCCTATGATGGAGGAAATACTGAAGATATTTATAGCAATATGCTGCTCTTCCCCACCTGTCTAGGCTGTTGGATGCAGATTTTCAGAAGACATGAGTCCAGAAGAAAGCTCTGGCTTTTGTCTTTCTCTGCACTGCTACCAAGTCTACAGTATGTCCAAAATGTAGATGTAATAACACACCTTAAAATAATTCTTAAGGTTGCTGGACCTGGGCCATTTGCACTGGAATTCATCGCTACTTGAAGACTGTAACATTAATGTATGTGTTGAAATAAAATTACTTCCTATTATGCTTCAATAGCATGAGAAACACGTTTTGCAAATTTTATATACAAGGCAGGAAAGGCACTTATACCATATTATATGGAATGGTACTTGCAGTTATTCAGGTCTAGATTTGGTCTCAGAATTGTGAATACCATGACTGACTGATTACTCTTCTACTGGACTATAGCTACCATTTTTTCTGAGATGTACACACAGAACTACTATAGGAAAGAAATCCATTAATGTCCCAGCCTCTGACAGCATACAAAGTGAAAAGCCATTTATTGTATCTGAGCATTGTTTACTACAAACTTTTTAACTTTATTGACTTCACTACATCACCACAGGCTCATGTGTGAATATTATCAAAGTGAGAACAAGTCTGAGCCACTGGAATGGTCTTTTTATTTTTGGAAGCATAAACACATTTGTGAATGGCTTGTAAGTTAAATTCTTTAGAATACTTTCTGTTACCCTTCTCCTGTTGCCTCCAGATAATGGCTTGTCAACATTTTGAGGTATTTAACCTGGATAAGGCTGTCTCCTCAAATCGTTCATTGAAAACCTTTATGTAACTTTTTTTCTTAGTTCTTGTTTGACACTTTATACCCATCTGCCTATATTCCACTCAATACCAATTTATCCTTTCAATCCCAGTGTTACATTTAGTCGTATACCTATAGAAATGCTTTTCAGCATTTGATACATCAAATAACACAGATAGACACAGCTGCAGCATAAAATAAATCTGACAGTTTTGATTTCCCTAAGTAGCTGGTGATTTTTTATTTGAATACTGTGTATTAAAAAAGAGTACCTGTTGCTTAGAGAATTAACTGACAGAATAACCTTGGGAATAGGTACACAAAATGGGGAGAAGGGCTTAATGCAAAAGTGACTGAGTTGACTGGAGAGCTTTTATATATGGCTCTAAATGCATGTCCTTTATTGGACAGAGCTTTTATTTATTCCAAGATTTTTCTTTACATACAAAATACAGTTATTTTTTCTGAATGAACCCAATGACACTTTCTTACCCTATTCGAGTTAGTAACTATTTCAGAAGTGATAAAAACTTACTGAAGGCGTGAGTTTGAGTTCAGATCTTTCTCTGTCTCCTTGTTCAAAGAACTCACTGGTTACCAGCTCAGCTGCCTAAAACATAGATCATGATAAAGATTAGAGTTCTTGCTACATAATTTTTAGGGTAATGAGTTCTTGCTCAGACCATGACTTCAGCCTGTGCTTAACTGCAAAGAAGTTAATAGTCTCACTTATGTGACTGATGTCAGGCACATGTTTGTACAGTTTTCAGGACTGGGCATACAGGGGGTATAAATAGCCATAACCACTGATAGGCACACTTACCCCTTTTTGATAAGGAATTGACTGGGGGAGTTGCATTGCAATGTTGAGGTAGCACTCAATGCAGTTATATGCAACTTACTCAAATATTGAGAACAGAATAGAAAATTATAGCTTCTTGTTGGCATGCACAATTATGTCTGTAAAAGTGCTTTGTAAAATGTGTAAAACTGTCTGCATATTTACAGGCTGTTGCCCTATATAAACAACTTCCCTTGTCAAAGAAACTTAATTAACCAATAACCTCTGTTGTCTTAATTTAATGTGAAATCCTAAAGGTTTTTTTCCGCACTAGGCTTTACTTTTTTCCCATGACTGTCATCACTATAGGATCTGAATATCTAAATATGAACTCAGATTGTGATTATCATATTGAATCAAAATCAAGAACTGGTGGGTTGGAAGTTGGAATGTGTCTTTCTGATTTTTGTGAATGAAGATGTTCTATTCAGCAGAGGTTTGTGCTTTGCAGAAGAACACAAGATTTAAAAACAAAATTAGTTATGGAAACAACAGGAATTTTAGGAAGTCAAACAGTGAGCAATCCTGATATAGTAGCCTTTATGTACTGTACTTTTCTCATGTGTGGGGCTTAGAAGGTAAACGTGTGACATCTGAGATGCAAAAAAAGGAAACTAATCTACTGAAGATGGCATTCAGTTCCTAAAGCTCCTGGTCATGCCTCCTTATTGTTTTCAAGTGTTTTGAAGCTAGGAAATGATATCATAATGTCAAGGCACGAGAGGGTCAACTAAGGTGTTCGGGGGGGGACGGGCAACTTAAATGCCTCTATGCAAACACACACAGCATGGGGAATAAACAAGAGGAGTTAGAGATGTGCGTACACCTGCAGGGGTATGATCTTATTGGCATCACAGAGACATGATGGGATGGCTCCGATGACTGGAGTGTTGGAATGGAAGCATACAGGCTCTTTAGGAAGGACAGGCAGGGGAGATGAGGAGGGGGTGTCGCCCTCTATGTCAGTGACCAGCTGGAGTGCGTGGAGCTCTGCCTGGGGATGAATGAGGGGCCGACCGAGAGTTTATGGGTCAGGATTAAGAGGAGGGCAGGGACAGGTGACATTATAGTGGGGGTCTGCTACAGACCACCTCACCAGGAAGACCAAGTGGTTGAGGCCCTCTATAGACAGATAGGAGCAGCCTCATGCTCAGAAGCCCTGGTCCTCATGGGGGCCTTCAACCACCCCGATATCTGTTGGAGGGACAACACGGCAGGGCTTAAGCAATCCGGGAGGTTCCTGGAATGCGTCGATGATAACTTCCTTCTCCAAGTGGTAGAGGAGCCAATGAGGAGAGGTGCTATGCTGGACCTTGTTCTCACCAACAAGGAAGGGCTGGTGGGAAAATGTGAAGTCGAGGGCAGCCTGGGCTGCAGTGACCACGAAATGGTGGAGTTCAAGATCCTTAGGGCACTGAGGAGGGCGCACAGCAAGCTCACTACCCTGGACTTCAGGAGAGCAGACACTGGCCTCTTCAGGGATCTGCTTGATAGAGCGCCATGGGACAAAGCCCTGGAGGAAAGAGGGGCCCAAGAAAGCTGATTAATATTCAGGGATCACCTCCTTCAAGCTCAGGAGCGATGCATCCCAACAAAGAGGAAGTCAG